TATAAGGTTCCCGTCTAATTCTGACCTTCACTTCTGGCCTTCGCAATCTCTAATTTAAGTAAATCATAATTAACAAGCTCTACAGATGTTTACAAGTGGTAGGAGAAGAGCAAGGGTGGCGGTTCTTAAAACATTTCAGATTTTACAGACCCCATCAGGAATGGATGAACTGGCATGCCCATTTGCTTATGCTGACTCCACCAGAGCAGGCAGGATAGTCAGCACTTCTTTCTCCCCACCCCGCCCCCACCCCTCTCCTAGTACCCTGCTGCTCTGCTCTTTCTCCTTCTGCCCTTCAGTGAAATCAGCTTGGTGGGCAGGGCTTGAGAAACAGAGCCCCACCCAGGAATTAGGGAACTTCCAGGTTACCTGGTTACTCATGGCGACCCTGAGGCCATGAGTATAGAAGAGGTTAGAGCAGCATCGAGGAAGAAAAGGTTGAGGAATTTGCCAAGGCTCAAACTCCAACCCCACTAAGCAGGCCCATGGGAAAGCCACTTAATCCCTCTGGCACTCACTTGCTGTCCTTGTTACTAAGGAGGATAATGGTATCCAGACTCCATCCAGCATTGAGGGTTGGGAAATAGTTGTGCAGTCCGGTGCCTGGTGAACTGTAAGGGGGAGGGCCTGTGTCTGTGTATCCAGGTAGGACCTCACATGAACAACTGCCCAATGTGTAATTGAAATGGTGGCCATTACTACTGAAAGTCTGCTCCGTGCCACTCAGTGCTTCCTCCTCCAAAAGCAAGAAGATGGAGCTGGGTGCAGGAGTCTGGTTTTTGGATCACTAACCTTTCGCTCTTTCTACCCAATCCAGGGTAAAGAAGGAGCGTTCATGGTCCGAGATTCCAGGACACCCGGGACATACACAGTCTCTGTTTTCACCAAGGCCATCATAAGGTATGGTGCTCATCTAGCTCAGAAAAATGGGGACAACTGCTTTAGTGTGCCAGCTTGGGCACAGCAAGATCTGCTCATGCACCATGAAGAACCTCACTAGCAGTGGCATGGCTTCCTCCACTGCCCCTGTTAATTAAATTAAATTAAATTAAAGTAGAGTTCAAGGGCAGAACCGAAGAGGTTTGCTAAGAGACAGAGCTGGGTGGATACCAAATCCTCTCCTTGGCTAAGGCCAGGCCTGATGGCAGAGTTCTAAAGACATCAAATACTGCCCCTGTATTTGGTGAGCGTACCAGTTAACATAGAGAGTGAAAGAAAGTATTTTCATCTAGAAGTGGAAACAGACAAATGCCTGTTCTTGATCTGCTAATAAAACTACCTACCATATTGAGAGCCCTGTGTGCCAGAGGGAAGTACATGTGTGTGTGTGTGTGAGTGTATGTGTGTGTGTGTATGCGTCCATGTACATGTGTGTATGTGTGTGTATAGCTAGAGTCCACATATAAGAAAAAGCATTCAGTACATGTCTTTTTGAGTCTGGATTATTTTGCTTAACATCATAATCTCTAGTTCTATCCATTTACTTGTGAATATCCCAGTTTCTTCTTTTGCAGCTAAATGAAATTCCAGTGTATATGTGGACTGTATTTTCTTCATCCATTCCTCTGTTAAGGGATATCTATACTTACTCCAGGATGTAGAAAGATAGAAAGATAGTTAGATAGTTAGATAGATGGATGGATAGATAGATAGATAGATAGATAGATAGATAGATAGATAGATAGATAGATAGATAGACAGACAGACCCCAGCTATGGTAAATAGTGCAGCCATAAGCATGCGTGATCAAAAATCCCTGTGTTATCTGGCTCAGAGTCCTTCTGGTACATACCCAGGAGTGGTGTAGCTGGAGCCACATGGTTGTTCTATCTTTAGTTTTTGAGAAACCTCCATACTAATTTTCATAGCAGCTATACTAGTTTGCATTCCCACCTGCAGGGTTCTCCCCCAAGCACGTACTCCATTTGCGCGCACTCGAGCGTGTACACACACACACACACACACACACACACACACACACACACGCATACTCCTCACCAGCATTTGTCGTCAATTTCCTTGATGACAGCCATTCAGTCTGGGGTGGAAGGAGAATCCCCGGGATGGTTTCCGTTTGCAGTGATAGAATGTACAGTGTGCTTCTCTCGCATTCTGTGGCTGTGGATGAAGCATTACCAACACCAGTACATTGGCACCGTTGCCCCTCAGAGAGCTTCCTCTCACAACACCAACCCCAGGGCCAACATACTGAGACTGACACTCACACTGCAGCACCGTGAGCCCGCCCTCCTGGTGAGGGCTTCCAGACCAAGACTGTGAGAATCTGATGCGAATAGATGCCTTGATGCATCGGTTTTGCTTCTTGGTAACGACTGTGTGTGTTCATTTGTTTCAAGCGAGAACAACCCCTGTATAAAACATTATCACATCAAAGAAACAAACGACAGCCCCAAACGGTACTATGTGGCTGAGAAGTACGTGTTTGACTCCATCCCTCTGCTCATCAAGTATCACCAGTACAACGGAGGAGGTAAGTTCTTGGGGACCAAGCCAGGAAGGGATCCTCACAAGGAAGAAATGACAGGGTCCTTATAAGATTCTTCACGCCGCACAAGCTGGCCACAAATCAAAGCAAGCAAACAAACAAAAACCCCAAAACAGAAACAAACAAAAAAGTTCCAAGTGCCAGAGATCCCCATGCCTACCACCAGAAACATCTGCTTTGCAGGTCATGACATCACTATCCCAGTAGGTTATGAATCCTCTCAAGGACCGTATGAAAACAGTGGTGGAACTTTGGGATCTGAAAGTATTATTTCATATACCATCCTTTCCCTGCTGATTTAACCTAAACAGTTGCTATGGCAAAGCCCTAACCATAGCTGTTGGCTTTCCCATCAACCTAGGTTTGGTCACTCGACTCCGGTATCCAGTTTGCTCCTGGAGGCAGAAAGCTCCGGTCACAGCGGGGCTAAGATATGGTAAGCAGTAGATGTTGGGCATTTAAGCTAAAGCTCACGCACCTCGATGTTCAGGACAAATTCTAAGAGGATTTCCCATTAGCCTAACTGTTCTCAAAGACTTGGATGACTTGGAGAGATGGTTAGGATAATGATCATATGCAATTGTGTAAGAAATGTGTGTGTCTAAACACATTTAGTATGACCAAGTCAATGTCCTTTGGCTTTAAAGAAAGGCTCATTAATGAGGCATTTATTGAGCACTTACTTTATACAGAGCACTCTACTAAGTGCTATTAGAAAATGTCAGAAAACAAACCATTAGCACTGTGTTCTAGCTGCTTTTTGGGACTTTTATTATAATCTAATTTGTTGGGTTTGGGTCTTCTCTAAGAGCTATGAACTGTCAGAATCCAGAAGTGTCTAGATAGATGGTATAAAGATATGTTTTATTTTGTTTCATTTTTTTCAGATCTGGGCCTTTAACTTAGTGGCAGAACACTAGTCTAGCATGGGTCAGGTCCTCAGTTAAATCCCCAATACCAGAAGAAAAAAAAATGTTTGCTTAATGCCTTTAAGTAGGGCCTGTACCTTCAGGGCCATGGGTCCTAATATGCCATCTGTCCTCCAAAATGGCTTCCCTCCTGTACTATCTACCTAGAACCAAAGGGCATCTCAGTCTGCATCCCTCGATCCAAAATGTGCTGTTTGAAGAGGAGACTAATCTAATCTTAATTTTTACGCATTGGTGGTTCTCAAACTTCAGTGTGCATCAAAAATCTTTCCATACATACACTTATCCAAAAATGCTGGTTCCACAACACTCCCTACTGCTTACCAAAACCCTCCCTAGGAGTGTGGCCTTGGAGTCCACATTATAAACAAGTAGCTTGGTAGCACTGACCCAGGCGGACAGGGACATAAATGGAGAAACACTGCCATGGACTCTTCATATCCAGTCAGCAGCATGTGCGACACTCAGTGAATACTCAACATGCTGTTTGCTTTTGAGACAATACCTCAGACTGATAGGCATGTGGCTGCTTCAAGGCCATGCTTTTGGAAAGCATCCTGTATCATTATCCTCCTTATAAAAGTAAGGCTACTCTAGCAACTGTTGTATCCTGAAGTGTCCTGCTGGACGGGATCACAGAGATCATCTGGTCAGCCCGCTTATTTCATCCATAGGAAAATTGAGGCTTAGGTCCTTTTGTTTGTTTATTAAACACTTACCAAGAGCCTGCCCCAGGGCTGGGGAAATGGCTGGGAAGTTAACAGTGCTTACTGTTCTTCCAAAGGAGCCAAGTTCATTTCCCAGCAACCACATCTGGTAACTTGAAACCACTCCTAACTCCTCTCTAGGAGATCCAATACCCTCTTCTGGCCTCGCCATTATCTGCATTTGTGTGCCTTATGTTCACACAAACATACACACATACCCATAAGTAAAACTGCAAAGAAATCTTAAAAACAAAAACAAAAAAAAAACAAAAAAACTGCCAGAAACAGCTCACTTGTGCCTCTGTACAAGGCTCCTATGAATAGCGTCAAGCTCCATTCTTGAAAGCTCCAAAGCCAGGCATAGTGCTGCGAGCACAGAGGGGCTCTCAGAAATTTCCTCTGGAAAAAAAAAATGCCAATAAACTTATAGGCACAGTATCTGCAAGTCTCTTTGTACTCTGGAGACTGAGGCAATAGGATTACAAGTTTGAGGCCAGTCTGGGCTAGATGGTGAGTTTCTGGACAGCCTAAGTTACATAGTAAGATTAGGTCTCAAAAGAAAAAAAAAAGTCATAATAAAAACTTTACGATCAGATGCTGCTAAAAAAAAAAAAAAAGAAAAGAAAAACAGAGTTGGGATCTTGTAATGATCCCTTCACCTATACTCTTTAGCCTACTTAACATCATCTTCCTTTTCTATCCTTGCTCCCTCCTGCCACATTATGACATTTCTGAAAACATATCCTATGTTCCAGGGATTACCTATGACAGTCTAAGCCATCTTTGAGCTTTGGTAACCAGAGGCTAGAGAAGACTGTGTATGTTTCTGAGTCATACCATATTAATTGCCTGCTCTAAAAGCACTCCCTCTCTTTCTCTGTTCCAGGGAAGTGGGTGATCCACCCCTCAGAGCTAACTTTCGTGCAGGAGATTGGCAGTGGGCAGTTTGGGCTGGTGCATCTCGGCTACTGGCTCAACAAGGACAAGGTGGCCATCAAGACCATTCAAGAAGGGGCAATGTCAGAAGAGGACTTTATTGAGGAGGCAGAAGTTATGATGTGAGTTACAACAGGGGTGTGCAGGCATCCTCTGGGCTGTGTTTGTAAATTTCCACTGTGATGTGTTGTCATGCCTCAATAGAAAAATCCTACCTCACGGGGAGTTTGAGTTGAGGAGATGACTCGGTTGGTAAAGCGCTTGCTGCATAACCAGCCTTGAGTTCAATCTGCAGAAACCACGTTATTAATAATAAAAAACAATTCTAGGCATGATGGCATATGCTTAGAGTCCCAATGCTGGCGAGATAGAGACAGGGCAGATCCTGGACTTGCTGGCCAGTCTAGCCTCCTTGGGGAAAGGCACATACATGACACACACACACACACACACACACCACATATGTGGTGCCATAAAAAGAAAATAAGGTCCTCTATCCCACTGTGAGCAGAGTTCATATGAATTCACAGAGATGAGGGCGGCAGGCACAGGTCCTGTGCAGGTCTGCACCAGGTTTTCTGTATATATATAGTATGGCTTCCACTTTACCATTTTTATGGGACTCCTGGGTATGTGGACAAGTGAGTCTCTGATTCTCGTACCTTCTCTCGGCCTGTTTTCTTCCTGTTTGTGTCTTGTCTAACTCAGAGGTGTTAGTTTGTGTTTATCTTGTTGTGTTTTTATTATCTCTTTTAGAAGCCTGTTTCTTGTCTAATGAGAAAAAGGGAATGGATCCAAATGGGAGGGGAGGGGAAAAAGAAAGGGAGGAATATATGAAAAGGAAACAATAATCAGGATATAGTGTGTGAGAAAAAAAATGTTTTCCAAAAAAGAGCGAGAGAAATTAAAGAAAGAAGAAAAGGCTGACTAAAGCCTCAGGAACAACACCCATGGCTGACCTGTGGACTACACACACACACACACACACACACACACACACAAAGAGAGAGAGAGACAAAGAGAGGGTTTCTTCAGCATGATCTAGAAGACCTGCTATATAGTCAGGCTCTCCAGTCTCCTCTACTACCCATCTCTGCTCTGGCCTACACTGGCCACTGCCTGTCTTCATTCATAGCAGCTGACTTCCTGTTATCCTCAGACCTTGGCTCCCATGCCCCTCTTTGGTTTAGGTTTGAGATTTGATTCTGTCCTCAGAACCATGTGCTGGATGAAATGACCCTCATCTACCTCAGTGCCATAACATGTGTGTCACTTTTAGAATGCCGAATTTAAGTCATTTTATCTCCTGTCTTCTTCTTCCAGGAAACTCTCTCACCCCAAACTGGTACAGCTCTACGGGGTGTGCCTGGAGCAAGCCCCGATCTGCTTGGTGTTTGAGTTCATGGAGCATGGCTGCCTGTCAGATTATCTGCGAAGTCAGCGGGGGCTCTTTGCTGCAGAGACCCTGCTGGGCATGTGCCTGGATGTGTGTGAGGGCATGGCCTACCTGGAGAAGGCGTGTGTCATCCACAGAGACCTGGTATGAGCAAGTGCCTGGGACACAGGACCACATACATACCCTAAAAGGTGGCACTACTTAGACTGAGAGAGCACCACTAAGTGACATGTCCCTCCTCTCAGAGGGACATGTCACTTCTTCCTAGAAGTGCTTCAGGAACGCTCAGATGGGAGCTACATCCCACCCTCTCCCTGACATATGCTCTCTGAGTTTTAGTTCACACTCTTCCAAACCAGAACTTACAACTACTCCTTATTAGCCTCTCTGTGCCCCAGTTTCCCCCTAGAAAAATATGAAGGAAATGGGCAAGGACAGTTTTGCTTTGTAAAACATATTATTTGCCTATGTTAACTGTAATGGGTTTCCTCATGATTTTTTTTTATGTGTGTATCATATGCTTTGATCACATTCAACTCTTCGATATCGTCTCTTGTCCCTGATCTCACTGGCACCTTCCTCTTCCCAAATAGTTCCACTTCTACCTGCATGTTTTATTTGATTTTAAATCCAGATCCTGCATGTGAGGGGGAAAAATACATGCTGTTTATCCTTAAGGGTAGCTATTTCACTTACCCAGATGACCCCCAGTTCCAGCCCACTTCCCGGCAAATGATGTCTCAATCCTCCTTATGGCTGAATAAAACCCCACTGTCTATACATGGTCTATAAGGAGGTCTATACACACCTCCTTTTCTTTACCCCTTCTCTCACTGATGGGCACTTGAGCTGACACTCAGTTTTGGTTTTTGTTTGTTTGTCTGTTTGTTTGTTTTTACTAAAATTGCACTATATGACCTGAGAGTCAGCCTGAGAACCTCTGATGGTGGAGGATCACAAATATTCCTGTGAGTTCCCATGAGAACACAGAGGCACTTTTAACTGTGAGACCCACCGGTTGTCTCTTGTCTCCCAGAACTCTTCCAAGACTGCCCTCTGGGACACTGAAAGGGGCCAGGTATTCTCCCTAGTTCGGGTACCTTTACAAGGATTAGCTTCTGAACACATTCATACTAATCCCTTGGCAGACTCTGCAGGCAGCCCTAACGTGAGCATTGCCTACCGCATCAGGTGGGTCCCAGTGACTTAATGGCTGGACGGCACTGGACTTCTCTGATAGCTATGATCAGTAATGAAAATAAACTCCTCATCCCGATAAAGGGGCTCACACATTCATCTAGCTTGCTGAATTTTCAGCTAGCTCAGCAGGCTGTTGGCGATGCATAATGTCCTGTAAGTCTCTGCAGCGCACAACACAGAAAAAAAAAAAAAACAAATATCCACTCATGGCTTCATTTCTCTTTCACCTACCCGTCTTTACTCTAGGCCGCCAGAAACTGTTTGGTGGGAGAAAACCAAGTCATCAAGGTGTCCGACTTTGGGATGACCAGGTAACACAGGGATGTGGTGTCAGCCAACTCTAAGGAGTAAGACTCAGCCCTCCAGTGCTCTGACCTCCTCCCCATCTCATCCCAGGTTTGTCCTTGATGATCAGTACACCAGCTCCACAGGCACCAAATTCCCAGTGAAGTGGGCATCCCCAGAAGTGTTCTCTTTCAGTCGCTACAGCAGCAAGTCGGATGTGTGGTCATTTGGTAAGTTTCTCCCTGAGTCCACTCCTGTGTGATCTGGAACTATGGAACAGCTGTTTCTTTCTCAAATGCAAACTTTATGTGACCTTTATATGGAGAAAGAACCCACTGAGGGCCTGTGTGAGATCAGCCTGAAGTTTTCGAAGGGCCTCTTATTGTTGCATTTGTTTCTAGAGATCTTTGAGACAGCTAATTAAAAATAATAGTGGGAAAGGAGTCTTGTGGTAGCTACTGTGAGCTGGAAAGTGAGAGGAGTCAGGAGATTGGATATGAGGCCTTCGAAAGCAGGACAGAGCTGTGTCCAACATCAAATTCCCATACTTAATTACTTAACACAGGTCAGAGTAGACCTCTGCCCTCTTGAAGCTAAACATTTGGGGAGAGGAGAGTGATGACTATCACTCAAGCTAGCAGATAGATTCAGCCAAGTTTGGGTCAGTTAGTGCTGTGACTCAAATAAAACAGCAATGGCGCAGAGATTATCTATTGGCTGAAGGGCCTGTTTTAACTTATATATTCTGAAAAGGCCTTTCTAGGAGGTACTCTTGACCAAATGTCTCCATTCAAATATTCATGGAGCTGTGTCCCTGAGAGGGACCAACACATGCAAAAGCTCCACTATGTCCAGAGAACAGGAGTTACTGAGTTAGAGGGAGAACAAACACAGTTACAGCTGCTGGGCTTGAATGAATGAATGATATTAGCATGTGGGAAAGGCTAAATGACTTGCTGGGTCTGACATCAGCCTAACTCCTAACTCCTAACTCCGCACGTTAACAGTGTGCATGAAAGTGTACTAATAACCTCTTTGATATGGTGGCTGTAAGATGCCACTGTGGAGAGAAACTGCTTCAGGTTGACTTTGCCATTCCATATGAAAATTTTGCCAGGGCACAAGCAAGGGAGATTCTGGCAAATCAAATATCTCAGGGCAAGAACTAGTGATACTACCCCCTTCACTTTATATACCCAATCCCAGGAGTCCAGGGCTTATTGATTATGAATCTTTCTGATCTATTCCTTAATTCACCCTCCCCCCCATCTTCAGGCTTGGCTGACACTGTGTTAATGGAGTAGAAGTTACAGAATGTACTTGGCGGAAGTTGTTCTGGCAACATCCTTGCACAACTGTCCACAAGTATGGAGGAAGGGTAGGGCCAATGTGTGGCCATCTCTCCACTGGTGATAGAGCTACTGACACCGCCAAGGCAGGGCCTCAGAAAGATGCTAATAGTTCTAGCCACAACCTGCACCTTCACCTGCAGACTGAGAATAGAGTTTGTGAAGTCATGGCATGTCAGCCCAAGGATATTCTACTGTGTTTTCTAGAAGGTTAGTCTAAAGTGCATCCCTGCCTGAGATGTGTGATTTGAAGAAAGCCCAGGAAGGAGGTTGATAGACAGATAGGTGAAGAACAGAAACAGGTAGCAGCAACTGGGCATGGTGGTGCACACCTTTAACACCAGCACAAAGGAGGCAGAGGCAGGAGGATCCCAGAGTTCGAGGCCAGCCTAGTCTACCTAGAGAGCTCCAGGACATCCAGGACTACACAGAGAAACCCTGTTGGGTGTTGGGGGAGGGGTGGAGAAAGAAAGAATGAAGGAAGGAAGCAAAGACAGGAAGAAAGGAAGGAAGGAAGGAAGGAAGGAAGGAAGGAAGGAAGGAAGGAAGGAAGGAAGGAAGGAGGAGCAAGCAGCTGAGCTTAGCGGCACATGCCTTTAATCCCAGCACTTGGGAAGCAGAGGCAGGCAGAGGTGGGGAAACACTATGAAAAGATTTGTTCTCAGTCTCTACAGTACAAACTAAGATTCCATATATGAAATGCCTGACACTAAAAATGGTTTAGATTTTAGATTTGGGGATATTTGCATATATGTGTATGTATTTATAGCTATGGAGGAGAAGGGAGAGAGAGAGTGCTTAGAAATAAAAGCCAAGTCTAGACATAAATTCATTTGCTTGTATACACTTCACAACCTCTCCAGAAGATCTTGTGGCCTCTTGTAGACTCCTCCAGCACATGCAAACACACGGCTTATGCTCATACACACACAAACACACATAAATAAAACATAAATCTTTTAAAATAGAACCGTCAATCAATCAATGAAAAAAACTAAGGGAAGACCTGAGAAGCCTCCAGAGGGCCTGATGCTGCACTTCTCCAAGGCCTCTGTTGTCGGTAGGTCCGAGTCTCTTTGATGCACTTTACCCTTAGCTTCTGTTCTTCTCACTGTTGCTTCTAGGTGTGCTGATGTGGGAAGTCTTCAGCGAAGGCAAAATCCCATACGAAAACCGAAGCAACTCCGAGGTCGTGGAAGACATCAGCACTGGCTTTCGGTTATACAAGCCCCGCCTGGCCTCCCCCCATGTCTACCAGATCATGAATCATTGCTGGAAGGAGGTCAGTACACCAGGAGGCTCTCCCTGGATCGTAATACACATCTTCAGGGCCTCCTTCACAGGGAAAAAGCATGTCCTAGGACGATGGGGACCAAGGATGACCATAGTAAACAGGCAGGACTTTGTACACTTGTATATGTATAATTAGGTTCTTGTTATACTTACATATGAAGTACAGTATGATATTGCAATGTACAGTGATCAGTGTGTACTTAATGTATGGGTGATCAATGTGTGCTGAATGTGCGGGTCATCTAGTAAAGTCATTTCTTCTCATCATTATGTCATGCTTGGAGCCTTTGAGCTCCTCCCTTCTAGGCGCTCATGAAATGCAGGCAGTGGACTGCACTCTCCCTGGGCTGTCCAACACGAGAACATTCTCCTTTATCAGACTGTGTTTTCATGCTTATTATCCACTCTCCTCCCTGTCTCTTTCCTCACATCCTCCCCAGCCTCTGGTAATCACTGTTCCACTTTCACAGTGACCTTTTTAGCTTCCACATATGAGAGAGGATATGAGAGTCTCTCTGTGTCTGACCTTTCGCTCAATGTCACATCCTCCAGTTTCACCCATGTTGCAACAAATGACAAGATTTCATTCTTTTTTTTACCAAATAAAATTTCATTTTACATTATATATGTATGTATACATATATGTGTAATGACTTTTTTATCTGTTCATTGTGTTGACTAAAGTTCTATTGCTGGATACCTAAGCTGTATCTCAGCTATTGGGAAAAGTACCACTAAAAACATTGGCAAGCATGTATTTCTTTAACATACTGACATCATTTTCTCTGAACATGTACCCATAAGTGGGATAGTCTTTTTTAAAGACCCTCAGATTATTGAAGAACAGCAAGGCAGAATCTCAGAAAGTTCAGCAGAGGCAAGTATGGTCTCAGTCCTAACAGTTTTTTACCGTTAAGCTTGGACAGTCCTCTGAACCTCCTTTCTTTGATTTATAAGACAGTTAAATAGCACGTAATCTGTAAATTCCCACAGAATTTATAACCAGAAACAAAAAAGTACAAAGATAAACAGGACCACAAAATACATCTTATTCAATGAAAGAAATCTTGAATACTGAAAGAATATTAATAGCTGGTATTTATTTGGCAATGATTTTGTTGTTGTTGTTGTTGCTTTTAGCTAATTTTGGGGGGGGTGAGGCTTGGGGAGTTCCAAGACAGAGGTTCTCTCTATAGTTCTGGCTGTCTTGGAACTTAACACTAGTGTTGATTTTAATCATCTCTGATTTATCAGAATTTTATATTTTCCTCATATACATCCCATACATATTGTATGAGCTTTAAACACACGTTTCCTTTTTTGTTATTTAGTGTTGTTAGGATACATTTTGTGCATGACTTACTTAATTCTCAAAATCATCTTATAAACTAGATTTTATCTCCATTTTACAAGTGGGAAAACTGGTGTTCAGAGAGGCTTGGCCATCTGTCCAGTGTCACATAACTGACGAGTGGCACAGCTAGATTTAAGTGTCTAGGGATATAGCTCAGAGTTACATGTGCTCTGGGTTTGATCCTCATTAAAAGAGAGAGAGAGAGAGAGGCTGAGAATTTAAAACTAGGTCAGCTGGTCTCAGTAAGGTCATCTTGCCTCCAATACAGCCTGTGTGGAATCATATTGTAAACTTGGAGAGGATGCTGCTGTTGAATCCGGGTCTGCTTTGCACTTAGCTGGGACGCGCTGGTATGAGGAACTCACGGAGATCTCTTTGTTACTCTCCAGAAACCAGAAGACCGGCCCCCCTTCTCCCAGCTGTTAAGTCACCTGGCTGAAATGGCAGAATCAGGGCTTTAGCGGGGACTCACTGACCAGTCACAGCCGTGGATCCTGACTGAAGGAACAGCATCCTTTTTTTCCAGAGCATGAAGGGCTGCCACCAGCCCAGGACCCCCACAGGTCCCTGGACCTTGGTGCCAGGCGCTATGCAGCTACGACTGCGGCATCCTAGAAGAGACTGGAGGGCCAGCCACCGAGCCGACGGTTGCACCACAGCAGCAGCTGTGTCTTTGTCCACCCACCCCAGCCTCTTGTCATACCCTGTACTCAAAGCTCCATCGCCCGCTCTCAGAAGCATTTCTTCCCCTCTTAGCAACAGGGAGAGGCAGACATAGGCCACATTCTTCTTTTTATTATTATTTTAAGCATAGGTCGAATGTTTTATTTGACCCAATGAGACAGTATCCCCACTTAAGGATGAAAGAGTGGGAGGCCTCATTTTTTTTTTTCTAAGAAATACAAGAGGTGATTAAACCAGAGTTCTACTACTGTGAGGCTGTCAGCCACAGCTTCCTGCCAACCTCTAAGGTGAAGTGGCAGCTTGTGCCAGAACCGGATGTCACGAGGCTTCAGAGCACACTGCCATCTCTTTCTGATGGGGCATAGTGAGCTCCATTGGGTGGATAGAGTGGGGTGACCCCATTCAAACCCCAAGGCTGAACCATTGGGTGTCGGAAGGTGGTCGGGAATGAGAGGGCCTCTGATGGTAGGAAATGAACAGGTACAAACCAAGGCTTTGAGTTTTCAGTTTCATAGTGAGCCACACAGGTGACTAGATCTCCTGTTCTGAGCTGAATGCTGAGGCAATGTCTACAAAATATTCATCACCCCAGCCTCTCAGGAGCAGCATATATTCTGCACTACCTACCTATACCAAGAGAGGGCAGCACTGTGCTTGTCATGTGGCCTTGAGACTTTGGGGTTCTCTTGGGCCATAGGGGTTTAGCAGTTTTAAGGTTGAGATGTCAAAGCTCTCAAGAGCCTAGCAAAAGGAGTTTGCTCCTGCTCAGACTATGTGGAAGGAAATAGAGTCAAGCCTTGGGGGGTACTTCCGAAAGGCACAAGCTGTTGATTGGCATTTACACAGGTGACTTGCATATACCCTGAGTACAAGCCATTCCTGGAGAATCCCTGTTCATACTAACCCAATGACACAGTATTCACGTTTTACAGAAAGTGAACTTGGCCTTTGATAAGGCAGACAAGCTGCCCCGAGTGACAGAACTGGGAAGGACAGAGATTGAAATACCACCCAAATATAACTCCAGTGCAGCTGGATTTATGTTCTCTTGATTCTTCTCAACACCGCTTCCTACTGAGAATGGATTGCTGAGAAGATTAATACAAGAGAGGAAAGGCAGTCCTTAAGCAGAACAGCAGCACCCGGTGATGCTGCTCCTGCAGAGAGCACTGGGGAGGGGGCATGTACAGTGGGACCCTCCAAATTGAAATAGGCTCCCCCCCCCTTCATGTTCATCCTCACCTGAATCTGAGTTCACAGCTACTCAAAATTAACCCTTTCATTCTCCCGACCCACCAGAGTCACATTGCCTGAGGCCATCTGTAGGAGAGCTTCAAAGGGGCTTTCAACTAGTCTCCTACTGAGTGTTCCCTGTAATTATCCCTTCAACCTGTGCATCTCTTGTGAGGAGTATTCCCCCGCTGCCAAGAACACCTGATTCTCCTGCAGTGTTCACATAAAGCTCCTAGAGAAATGAGCAGAGTCACGTGGCATGTTGGCTGGCTTGAGACTTGAAGGCATCACTTCCAGCCATAATCACTGTGTCCAGATAAAACTCTGTCATTCAGAAAAAAACTATCCCCCTCAGCTGGCCCACAATCATCCCTGTTTACTTCGAAGCCTATCGTCCATTCTCCTTTGGGAACCGGTAATTAAGGGAGAGTTTCTGGGACTTTCAACCTAGGAGGTAAACACTGGAACCGAGAGATGTCTGTGGTGTGGTTTAGGAGACTGGTCCCTGTATGGTGACATTGTCTTCCTTAACCTCAGCTGCATGGAGGCTTTGACGGACATGCACTGCTCACTCCAGTGGCCCGCATGGTTGGATGGGATTCTCCGCTGCTGGTTTCTGTCTTAGGTTTTTTTGCAAATGGTGCCTTGTGTTCACAAGAGAATTCTTGATGAAAGGTTTTGGTTTGAGTTGTACTTTGTAAGTCATGTGATTTGTAATGTTTGGAACTATGTATTTATACCTGGATCAGGAGAGTATTTATTTGCTCGTGTTCAAGATAAAAATACTGCAAGTATGTCTTACCCTCTGTAGAGGCCACAACGGTAAGTTGCATATGGCAAAAATAAAGCTGTATGTTTTACAAATATAGGATCTGTGGCTTGAGTTTCAAATTGCTGACACCTTAATTTTTGCTTAAATAAAAATGGTCACATGGTTTCTGAATGAAAAAAAAAAAGAAAAGACAATAAAAAGGGGGACATGACTGCTCCTAAGTATGGTCGAGGAGAAGGTTTATTGTAGATACGAGGGAATGCATAGCCAGAGGCAGGGACATTGGGAGAGTCCAGAGTGGACATGACCCTGAGCCAGCCATCTGAGGAGATGGGGGAGGAGAGAAGGGATAGCCAGGAGATTAAAAGGTAAAACTGAAAAGGTCCTGGTAACCAGAATGACTGGATTATATAGCAAAGGGCATCCCAACCTCTGGGCTAGAGAAGTTTAGGGTAGGGGACAGGGTATGCCAGCCATAATGTGTAACAGGTAGAGACTGAGGGACGCTGGGAGAACCTGGAGGCCAGGTCCACTTTGATACCTTAAATAGGCACCTCAGCTGATTGTCAAGAGTTTCAGTTCTAACAGTTTCCTCTTTCACAAGTAAAAACTAAATAACCCTCCGTGGCATGTCCCCTGTACCCAACACAGCATCAAGTGTTTTCCGAATGCCGTGCACTTGGCACAGGGTACACACAGATGCTTACAGAAACTAAGACAGAAGACAAGACGCTAATTTCTGAGAAGTCAGACACAGCTTCAAGTAAGATTAGAACACAGCAATTAAAACAACAATGGAAGTGTTGTCTGTCAAAGAAGACTCTAGGAAAAAGGTGATAAAATTGGTCTGGCCAAGGATGACATGAGGGTAAATTCCTGGCACCTCGTTCCTCAAACTCTCAGTGTGAGGGCAGCAGCCAAGTCATGAGCAAAACAGTCTAAGGCTTCCTCCTTATCTATTAAGAAGATCTTCATTCTAACAAGATCCAGGCAGGAACAATGCACACTAAATTTGAGAAGCATTCCCATAGAGAATATAACATCTAATTCTGTTTTGGAGATAAATTACAGGTATTTTTAGGAAAGCAAGTGGGCAGAAATAATAGAAGTATTTTGCAAGTTAAGGGAATAGAATATTTGGGGAAGTTATTGGGTTTTTTTTTTTCTGGGGCATCAGTGAGTGTGTTGTGTGTGTGTTTGTATATACAAACATATGTTCTCACATTTGCTGTTGGATGGTGAGAATGACCAGCAGTGGCTAAATTGAAACAGACTATAAATCTAGATGTATTTTAAAAGTCTGTGATGATGAAAATTTTACTCTCAAGGTAAAAATGTCATTGATCAGAAAGGGAGGATCAAATTTGCAGTTAAAATATGTTCTTACCACAGTAACACGAGTTGGATTGAGAAAGGCAAAGTTCATGGAAGAGAAATACATTCTCCAAGTTTGTTTCTGGTACTTGCTCACGGTGACACGCCACTGACCATACTCACTCACCGCCTGCTGTGTGGGTGACATGCAGCTGCTGTGATTCAGAGTCCCTCGGTCACTGCTGACCATAATAAGTAGTTACTCTTCTTAAAACTCCCGTGGATTACTCCCTTGGTTATCAAGGTTTGGGTGTGCTGGGCACCTAACACGTCACAGCTCGTGGATGCCCAAGTCCACAACAGGAATCTGTTCCTGCTCTACGGGATATTAGGCATGGGGGAGAAAGCACAGGCCTTCCACTGAGCAGTGTCTAGCACTCAGTTCTGGACCCTGGTTAGGATATAATCACATGGGAAAGTTCTAAAGGAGGTTGTACAAACAGATTTGCTCCTCCCTTCTTCCTGAATCTCCCAGCACACAATTCCAGCATTCTTCAGAAAAGACAGAACTAAGATGGGGAGTATGATTAGAGGAGGAAGCCATACTTACATGGTAAGCATGTGTTATGAGGTTAGAATTCATTAATTTGCAATGGCCTTAAAGAGCTACTAGAAATTTAGCGCACCAAAGCCTACTCTCTAGAACCACCAGATCAAGAGTGATATAAGCACTGTGTGGATGGGGGTAGGTGTCTGAGTATTTAAACAATGTCATCAAGATCCAGCCCTGCCGCCATCCAAGTCACCCTGCAGCTACTTGAGAGGGCCCCGGACCTCCAATAGAACTTGCTAGATCCCAGACCCATTCCTGCCAGGATGCCTTTAGCCTATCCACGTGGTACAAAAACATATTAATGCATCTCCTCACTCTCTTCAGAAAAGTTTCTGTTTGCAGAAGATGACAGTTGACACAGAGATTCACAATTGGCCAAGGTACAAAGAATAAGAGACTGTGGAGTGCTCAGCCCCAAATAGGATCTCTACATCACATTCCCTCCTCCAAGGACACAGGGATCATTGTGAAGAGGTGATAGGAGAACTGTAAGACCAAAACACAACAGTGACTTCTGGACACAACAGCAGCTACACACATGAACCCACAGTACCTATGACAGCATGCACAAGCCCCGTGCAGCTCCATCCAGACCAAAGCCTGACATGGAGCAGGGAAGTAGGCATGAAGTCCCCCCAGAAACAGTGGAATGATTGACAACTGACAGTTGCTGGGAAAAACAGAGAGTTCTAAACACTTTGACAGTGTTGTTCCTATGCTCCAGGGAAAGGTCACACATCCAAGATTACATAGGTCACACAGATTGGTCTTGATGGGTGAAAATAAAAAAGGGTGGGAGGGAAGATGGTGGATCTGGGAGGAGTTTGAGGGAGGAGTGAATATGACCAAAAAACACTGTATGAAATTCTCAAAGAACTGATGGGAAAACAAAACAAAACAAAAAAACAAAAAAGATTCTTCCCAAGAGAAGAGCCTGCTTGGAACTCCTTGCTGAACTATGGGGTACTGATGTTGTCTTCAGTTATATATCCATTAGGAAGTGCATGAGATTTCAATGAACAGTTCCAAACCTGTGGTCACCCAGATGGCCCTGGTTAAACTCAGTGAGTCAACAAAACAAAACAAAAAGACACAAATGT